GGCCACGGTTTAACTTGATCTCATTGTTTCCGACCACGCCCCCCCTCCCCGTTGGGACTGTTGCTTTAACCTCTAAGTGGAAGTAAACACAGCGGAGGAGTCAAACATACGCAGGGAAACTGAGGTTTCGGCGACTGCTAACAGCACAACTGGTTTCATCACATGAAACTTCCAGGTAAACGAAGATGTCGCAAAAATGTTTCGGTTATACTTGGCGACTGGGTGTGGTTCACTAGGACAGAAAGCGAATTCTCCGCTTCACGCGAAACTTTTTTCGCTGCAGGAACCCCAGGTCCACTCATGATCAGCGGTGGACCTGAGGTTCCTGCAGCGAAAAGTTTCGCGTGCGAAAAGCGGAAAATTCGCTTTCTGTCCTAGTGAACCACACCTTTGCGACTGCCTTGCAGCTCGAGTGTTGAGCAATTTGTATCCATCATGCGATTGCACGATTGCGCGATCGATACGTATCTGCTTCACTCGCCAAGTGAGACTCTCCCCTAACGTCGCAAGGTATCCATATCCGCGCAATTTATATTGTTTCAGTCACTGGGTCTTGAATAAATTGTGATCGTGTGTATTATAGGCATTGTGTATCCCTAGCGCAGCACTATGGCCGTTCAATGTCATTCTTCGCTTCCCATCAGTCTGGAGCGTGGACGTTTGCGAAGGCACAGGTGTGTACCCTTTCTTTTCACTTGATTGTGCCAGATAATTTTTCGGTCCTGACCTTCAGATTCAACTCATTCACCGGTGTCGATGTTCGTCTTCATGTACAGCCTGATTTTTGCTGCCAGAACAATACTGTCGAAATAAGACACTGAATAGTCTCTTGATTAATTATCGCGAAAATATGTGTTTAGACGCACCTTCATATGTGGGCCAACTGTTGCAGCTATGCTTTCTTCCATAAGGCGTTGTTGACACTACAAGAGTCCGTGGGCTCTGCTTTCCAATTAATCAGCGAAAAAATTGTTACAAAGTCTCATAGTACAATTCAGCGGCTCCGCGGCTTTTCAACTTAAGGCGTGGCTGCATCGAGCGCGGACGAGCCGGCAGCGCTCCCGAATGGTTCGTGCGCCCCTTGAACCGGCTTCGACGCAGCAGCCTAGCAGCTGAAGCACGACCGACTCGTCCGCACTCACCGCAGCCGCGCTTTAAAATGAGGAAAAGTCACGGAACCCAGTTTGCCCGCTCAAGCTAAAGAGTGGTGGGTGCTAACTTAGTTGGGGGGACCACGCGGCGGCGCGGCGCTCTGTTCGTCTGCTCCTCCAAGGCTTAGTCCGCCGATGGCGCGTATTTCGAAACTGCCACGTGGCGACGAAATAGTAACTGCCCTTGGACTAAGCCTTAGAGGAGCAGACGAACAGAGCGCCGCGCCGCCGCGTGTTCTCCCCCCCCCTCCCAACTAAGTTAGCACCGAATGGTGCAGCTAGGAGGAGCGGAAGCATATGTGTCAATCTGAACTTGGGATGTTATACATATATTGCTGCAGAAAGCAGCGTATTCCTAAGCGCTGTGGGCGTACTTTATGTCTTCTCTTCTGCAATACTGTGATTCTTCATCTTCTCGCTTTCCGACGGGTTCCTCTTGCAGATCACAAATTCATGGAAGTTTTGCTTGTATTCTGTTTCTGCAGATTCATTTGTTCATTACAATTGTTGATTGATGGTTCAAGCTTTCTATAAATATTTGTTCAATAGGAACTGTGTTTTAGTTACTATACACCGTTGTATATCCATTCTACAATTCAAGTGTACGAGGTATAAAAGCCAGTTCTGAAACGGCTCACGTTATGAGTGCTTAACTATACGTTTTGACGGGAAACTAACTTGAGTGTGGCAGGCTTATGACAAAAAGGCGTCCTCGTTTGCCAGATTCCGGGATTTACACCGAAGACGGCTTTCTCTTCCATCATAACACCCCCCAGCCGTTGAGCCGTGCTGAAGTGGAACGTCTCCATGAACATGGCAAGCCTTTTTTCTTCAATTGTCATTTTATCTTGGCTGCAAGATTTACCTTTTTTCAGAAATACCTTATGAACCGAGATCTCAATTCACGCCTGCGATGATCAACCAGACTCAAAGAAGAACTGAAAGAGGCTTTAGGAGAATCTTTTCATATATAAAGGGATTTTCTTCAATGTTTTCGCTGCGGTTGTTATCACAGTTCGTGTACTTCGTTATTATGTTAAGCATTCGCCTGGCGAAAGCATAATTGGATATGAATTGGCCCCAAATACCGCATGGTGTGATACGAGGTAACAGGTGTAGGCTGGAGTCGCTAGAACGGAAGGCGATTCCATTTTTTCGCTCAGGACCCCAGGTCCGCGTATGCTCAGCGTTGGGGTTCCCATAACGAGAAAGTTTCAAGCTGCGAAAATTGAAGAAGTCGCTTTCTATCCTAACGACCCTCACCCGCAGGTTTACCGCTGAGAACTCAATGTGAACACGGATTTTAAATTGGTTGTTTCAGGCCGTATTTTTATTTCAATGGAAGAACGTCTCACTTTCAACACTAATACGAGATTCTGGCCGAAAATGTGTAAGCGTTTTTATTGCGCGACATACAGTTCAGGAAAGCTAATAGACATTCCCCAGCGTAAGCTCTTGTCCGCTATGCACAGTGATGACAACTTTATCTTTGCCATCTTGAAAACAAAAAAAGGTAAAACAAAAGCTCGGAACATAGAAAGTAGGCCACGTACCTTTGAGAGCAAATCGAGGTCAGAAACGTAACCACTTTGGTTATCTCGTTTATAATGATTTTTTTCTTCTTCAACTTAAAGCTATTTCTTGCACTCATCTGTGAACTTTTGACAGCTCAGAGGATGTATTTTGACCATTCCTTATTTTCCGCCGCGCCTTTTGCCTAATTCCATTCAGAATCTTATGATAGATTTATGACTACAAATTTCAAAACTACAGTATCTTCGCATGGCCATTATAGAAGTCCAACAAAGACAGTCATCGACATTCTGATTTTAGATTATATGGTGTATTGTCTACATCTATTTCCTTTCAGGTCACAAATTGCCTCACCGTACTGCGGGGCAGGTTCGTAATCGAATCAAAGTGTTGTTCGATCCCGCAATTTTGAAAGGACACTCGAAGCTTGCGTACAAGAAACCGTAACTTTTTTGTGTTCAGAACTTTTTTTGTTTAAGATTTGATTCTTCCTACAATTTAGTCGTGATTTGGCAGTGCAAAAGTTATAGGCGGGCATGGACAAATTAGTGGCAAAAAACTTACGAGGGGTCGGTCCGGCCATTTGCAATGAGGTGTATAGCTACGCATTCGTCTTGAAACGATAAGCTAGAAACCGCTTTTCTTACCTGCTAAACGGTACTGAACGGAGTTACGGAAGTTTTCCTGTACTTGAACGCTGTATATGAGCGCTATCATTGGGGTCGCCCCTATAAACTAAGCGGGAAGGTGCACATTGTGGTTGACGGGCGAGAGGTCATGGGATAGGTCTCTCATGGTGTTTGTTGTTTTGCCTCTTTGAAAAACATGACCAGAAAGGCTTTTAGCGACAGTATTTCCTCAATGCCTGCCTTTACCTGCCTGTGTAAGGAGTTAGCGAGCACCTCTGTCGCAGGTTGAGAGCTATTTTTTAATTAATATTTGCCATGACTGAAAACGACGCTCATAGCCCACTGATAAGGTGTTTTTGCGGTAAACGAGTATGATATTCGTGTTCAGGAGACCGAATTTTCCCTGGTTACAAGTTTCCAGCTGAATCTGAGATTTTGACCTACACTCGAGAAAGGGCAGTCAACATACAGTCAAACGAGAGAAGGTATGAATCGAAAACTAACTGGAAAAGCACCTTCCCTGAATTTTGATGCAGAGTCATGTAAATCATTTCCATTATGCGGAAATGTGAGCCGTTGAACGTTTCTCTTTCAAAATCTTGGTTGGAAGGGCAATTTTCCATGCCAAGAGTTCAACGATAGGTTGATGATATGATGGTTGACTCACCTCATTTTTTAGGGTTGGGTCAAAATCTCAGATTCGGTAGGAAACTTATCTCCAAGGGTAGTTTGATCTCCTGAACACGAATATCACGCCTGTTTGCCGCGAAAAAGCCTGACACGTGCATTACGGGCACCATGTTCATACATGGACGACTACTGCCCAACCTGCAAGGAACTGCTCGAAATTTTTTCGTACAGGGAACTAATGGCAAAGTTGATAAATTAAAGAAGTTAGAAGCTTTCTGGCTACATCTTCACGAAGCACAAAAGAAACAGACTCTCCGAGGAACCGTTCCCACGACCTCTTGCTCGCGAGTTCGGGGCACTGCCACTGCGCTTCCTTGCTTTATAACTACGTTCAGAGAATCGTTTAGCAGATAAGGAAGGCAGTTCTGAGCTCAGCGCCTCGAGGCGACTTCAACGGTATACGACTCATTGCAAATGGCCGGACCGGCCTGATGACCTTCCCTCGTTAGCGTCGGGACCCGAAGCTCGCAAATACTGATAGGACCGCACAGGAGTCCTAACCATTGAAGTTTTTTGAATCGAGACTCGGCTGAGGAGATTGCTTCACATAGCTCTGATTCTTAACGTTACTTTTCACTTCCAGAATTTGTTTATTTAGGATTCTTCCTTTGTTATCTGTAGACATTTTGGTGCTGAGGCTGTAGACTTTTTGATGCTAAGCGAGTTGGAGGAGGGGAGATCGGTCGCTGCTGCGATTCGCCCCCCTCTGTGTAAAGAGCGTAAACTCGCGCTCAGCTTCTTACGCATCTCAAGTGACCGCCCCATTTCTCACCTCCTGAACATTTCCCCCGTTTGCACTAAAATCCGCGATCGTTCGCGCGCCACACGTCTGCTTCCCTCAACTTATTTTGCACCGACTTTTGTTTTTTTCACGCCAATAGAGTTACTTTGTTTCAGTTTATGGATTCAGTTTTATTGAACTATTCCACCAATCGCGTTATATTAAGACACCAATGGACGATGAGTGATACAGAGAAACTGCTCAAATACTACAAGATCTATGGCATGTCAGCGTCGGCTATTAAGAAGATAGGCGAGGTAGGTGGAGGATTTTCATCATTTTTCGTTTTGTTTGTGGGGCTTCGAACATTCTTCGTACTTGCAGCTTATGAAACTGCCCATGCATACGTGCCAAAATCATTTAAGAAACATTCTGGAGCGGACGGGGCCTGTTCCTAACTATCTTCTTAAAAAACTTTGGGGTGAGATTGGCTTTACATGTTACTACGGTGTGCTTTCTTTTGCTTACTCCAATTTTTCGTACTCTACATTTACAAATTTTAGTCGTCGTAACGAAGCAAACTTCGTTCGAAAGTGGTTGCGCCTTTGATAGGGTCGTCTCTAAAGCTATACGAAAGTGTCGATTAGAGGTGAATATATTAGGTATTGTTCGCTATTTATTTTTCGTTTCTTTCTGATTCGAGCCTTTGGTTTCGCAGCGAAACGTTTTCAGCTGCAGGAACATACAGTCGATATCTCGAAGTCTGATTGGGCGTGTCACCGGAAATGACGTGGCAGCCACCGCACTTGATAGAAGTTGCGCGGATAAGCTGCTTCCAACACGCTTTGCTGATATCTGGCGGAGTATTTATCCACATGACATCTATCAAGTGCGGTGGCTGCCACGTCATTTCCGGTGACACGCCCAATC